GGAATGTAACCTATTCAAGAGGAAGAACCTGAACTTCTCCTCCCCTATCAACACTAAACATATTTGCTTCTCGTAGGTCTTCCAGCAAGACTTTAGCCCCAAGGAGGCCAAGACCCCGCCGCCCTGCTGCAGGCCGCATTCCCAGTCCCGCTCTCCCCAGGCCTGGCGCACAGCACAAGGGAGGTAATTATCCGCTCCATGAATGAAGCCCCGCGCTGTGCACTTCACACGTGCGAAACGAGGGTCGCACGAGGTGACGGCTCCCTTTTGGCGAACAAGCGTGTTCTGGAGACACAGGCCCGCCTCCCACCCAGGCCCCAGCCCCCGGGGACGCCGGCCCCTGACCCCGCGCCCGGCAGACACCTCTTGCACATAGAAGCATCTTCGCAAGTGCCCCGCACTCCCTCGTCGTCTGGGTCTGTCGAGGAGGAAGAACAGGAGCTGAAAGAGGGCGTCCTCAGACTAGTGGCCATGGCCGTGGAGGTTCCGGGGTGCTGCGCCCACCGAGAACATCGAAGCGGGGTCCCCAGACGCGGAGGAAACGAGCCAGCCGCCTGGAGGATAAGACAGAGGGGCTGGGTTCCACCGCGCTCAGCTCGCGCGGCTCAATGACGCAGCTCAGGTCAGGTCCCGGAGAAACCGTCCGGCTCATTGGCGCCTCAATCCAGACGCTCATTGGACAATTTCTACGCCCCCTCCACCCGCGTTTGCGATCATTGGATAATTCTTCGTTCCCGCCCACACAACCCGGAAGCCCGCTCAGGGGGCGAAGTAAACTGAAATTGACGCAAAGGAGCACGGCAATTCTTTCTGGGAATTGTAGTTTTGGGTGCCCCAGGAGAGAACGGGTTTTCTTCTTGCCGCTCAGAACATTTTAGGCTGTCATTCACAAAGGGGAAAAGGTACCAGGATCGTCAGCACAGGGAATTCAGCCGGAAGAAACAAGTGTTAGTGTTACAGTTACTCGGGGCTCAGTCTCAATCACTGAGCAAATGTTCATGGAGCGCTGACTCTGAGCCAGGAGTTGTGCTAAGTAAGGGCTTTGCGCACATAATCGCCTTTCAAATGTGGAGGAAGGAATGTGCGGAAAACTGGTACAATGCAAAACTGTGTAGTAGTGAAAGCGAACTAGAGCTGCCAGTTACAAGCATCAATGGCTGAAGTAAGAAACATAACTATTCAGTGAAAGAAGGGAATAGAACAGTTTTATAAAGTTCAAACCAAGCAAAAGGAATGTTTAGAGATACACACATATATGATAAAATACTGTACAGAAGAGGAAAGGAAGGAGGCCGGGACTCCAGGGAGATGTAAGAATGGCTCCCTGGCTGCTTCCTGAGTCACTGTGGTTCAGGCAATGGGAGTGGCCTTGCCCATATCCCGAACTGCAGCTCCTCTCCCTGTTATCGTGTGTCCTCCAGAGCCCTCAGGGTTTTGAGGTGCACATCCATGGCAGCCCAGGGCCCAGGAGCTGATGAGAAACACAGAAGTGGAGGGTCGGCTGTTTGGTGCTCCACTCTCTCCCAGTGCAGAACCCCTCCTCCACACACTTGCTTTCTCTTAGTGTTGTTGCTTCCCAGCACGTCCAAGGACTCATCTCTGGATCCAGGGGCTTGAGGCTCCCACTCTGGCCATGGACAAAATGATCTTCCTGGCTGTGGACTCCAGCACTGGGGAGATGGACTGGCATGCCCTCAGGAAGAAGACAGCCATCTATGGGGCAGACCCACCCAGCTCCCTTTCCCCATAAACACCCAGAACATGTGCACCATGTGTGAATAGCTGCAGACAGAAACAAAAACCCATGACTTCATGCAGCTAGAAATGAAACACTCTCCTGAGGGAATCTGTAGAGCGGGGGGAAAGGGGCGAGGGGAAGCAGTCCACACTGAGAGGTAATGAACTCAACAGCCGTGCTTGGCGGGTCCAGAACCATCGGCAGCGGGGACCCGGTTGGCGGCCAAGAGCTGGGTGACAAGTCTCATATGGCACAGCTCCGGGTTACGGGCCGGCGGCGACCCTGGCGCAGGGAAGCGGCGGAGGACCAGAATAGGGGGCCAGCGGAGCGGCCACCCTCCGTCCCTAACCCCTCAACCCCCAGCCCCCGGCCCGGTCTCCACCGGGCGCTCCTCAGGCCAGCCCGGATCTGAACAATCCCCTGCCCATGGTCTGGTTGGCCAGCTGCTTTATGTGGTCGAATTGCTTCTTTATGGTGGCGGTGGCGACCTGCGGGGCTCGGGCCAGGCAGCTCTGGGGCCCACCAACGCAGCTACACTGATTCCCCACCTAGGCCGGCAACCCGCCCTCGCCACGTCCATCTAGAAGCGCCGCCCGCCAAGCCTTGTCCGGCCAGGCCAGGGGCGCAGTAAGCAGCCTGGCCTCCTCAGCGGGAGACCTGAGGCCACCCTGCGCAGAGCGGGTAGCACCCCAACCCGGCCCGCCATCGCGGCCCGCGACCCCCTGCCAGGACTAGTCAGCACAGAGGAGGGAGGCAGCTCACCTGCAGGGTGCTCGCGAGAGACTATGAACCACCAAACCCCACTGTGGGACACACTGTCCCCACAGACCTGGCCGGGAAGGGAGGGACAGGTCATTCAGGAGTGAGTGAGACTTCCTTCATCAGCCACAACTCTGATCTCATGATGGACTTTGCTTATGTCATCTCATCGCAGACACAAATCAATAGACTCTGGAGCCTCTGGAGGCTGGAAATGCCCTAAGTCTCCTTGAGGGCTGTGCCTCTGTGCAGGTGTAGATATTTGTCAAATGCACCTAGGATCTGCTCTCCCAGGTGAATGGATGCGTGTGACTGTGTACTAGTCACCTCGATTAAAAAGATACTGTTGTGTGGAAAGCACAGCCGCAGGAGTTGTGTACCGAGATAACACTGAGGGGGAAAGTTCAGGGCCAGATGCATTTTCTGTGGGTGGGCACCTGGGGCCAGTCAGGCAGGAGCACTCACTAGGGACCCACCCAGGACAGCCAAGAAGCAGGGGGAACAGGGGAAAGGGCCCAGCCCTGTGTGGGAAGTCGTGGGGCTGAGCAGCTGGGACCAGGACCAGTGGCCAGAGTAGGCCCTGGGAAGGCCCAAGGTCTCGGCCTTTCCTAGCAACGTGGCCTGCACAGGGCAGGCGGGTGCCGGCCCCACGCAGGCATTGCCTAGAAATGCCTATTGTCTTCTGATTCTTAACCTGGCGCAGGCAGGGATTCTGGGACACTTGGCGGGGTAGTCCGACTGCGCTGGACACTTTTCCACAGCAGACCACGACAGTTAATATGACCTGCGAAGATGTGCTCCTGGGTTGGTGGCCTGGGCTCTGGCCTAGGCCATTTCCAGGGGGAGTGGATGGCAGTGAGACTTCCTTGACCGGCTACAACTTGGATCTCACCATGGACTTTGCTGATGTCATATCATCTCAGACACAAACCAAGACACTCCTCAATGAGATCGAAACACTGGAGGCTGATCTTACACTTTGGAAACATTTGTCCAAGGGACCAAACAGCTCAGACTCCAATGCCATCTGGAAACTGAAGAGCACCATCAGGGACCTAGAAGAGCGGCGGATGAGGGAGATCGAGGAACATCAACTCGGAGTTGCGGTCCTGCACAGTGTCCATCAAGAAAAACTGGCCGACATCATTGACAGGCACCGCAAACAACTCCTCGAGTATGAAAAACGGATAGAAGACCTGCAACATCAAGAGTCTGCCAGTCATGGGAAAGATGACTTACTTCAAGAAAGGGAAACTGAGCCTAGAAGGTTGAAGCAACAACTTGCAGAAATGGAGCGGCTGAATGAAAATTTAAACAACATTGCTTCTGAGCTCAGAGCAGAAAACCAAAAGTTGGTTTTGGCACTCCAGGATGTAGGACATCAACTGGAAGAATCTATTGTCCAGAACAATGAGGATTCTCTGGAAAACAACACTGCTGTGAGGGCTTTAAAAATAGAAAAAGGACGATTAATAGCAAAATTGGCTCAGGTGCAAAAGAAGCTGTGGGAGGAAACAAACAAGGATGAGCAAACTATCAAAGAATTGTCCCCTTTAGAGCATGTGCATTTCATTCAACATAGTCAAGAGAAAGACCTGGAAATAGTACACCTCAAAAAGAGGATCGAGCAGATGGATGCCGACCATAAAGAAACGAAGGAAATGCTGTCCTCTGCTCTGGAGGAGCAGAAGCAATTGACACAACTCATTAAAGAGAAAGAGATGTATACTGAAGAACTTACAGGAAGTCCAGAGCTTCAGGAGGAATTGGGTCAGTCTACCCAAACCTTCAGAAGCAATGACATTTTCCAGCCATCCGTGGAGGACAAAGACAGGTGTCTCCCATCCGTGACAGGCGAAAATCCTCATCTGAGAGAAGGACTGGAGAGCCTAGGACAACAGAGTCGCTCTGTTCCTGCGCTCGACCCTAAAATCCTAGACGAGATCATAGAACTAGAGTGTGAGGTGTTTCAACTCCAGGAGTTAAAGGATGATCTCGAGGAGGAAATCAGAGAGCAACAGAAGATCATTCACAACCAGCAGCAGGGGAAGATAGGACTGCTTCATT